CAAGGGCCACGGCCACCGGGTCCTTCTGCAGCAGGTCAGCGTCGAAGGCCACCCCACGGAAGAAGGGGTGGCCCTGGAAGTGGTGGAGGTAGCGCAGACGGTGCAGGGGGTTGTGGCACAGCAGCTGGGGACGGAGAGAGGACAGTGAGTAGCGGGGACCCCGGCATCCAGCCCGGGGGAGGTCAGTGGGGACCCCAAAATCCAGGTGGGAGGGTTACCTCGGCGAGCAGCCGGGCCAGCGCAGGGCTGACCGTAGGTGGGCTCTCATAGCTGGTCTGCTTGACACGCTCCAGCATGGCCACGTGGTCCCCCGCTGGTGCCACAGGGAACTGGGGGGGCAGGGAGCAGATTTAGGGACTCCATGAGGTGCCTCTATCCTCCCTCCCCCCCCCCATCACCACCACGGTCCTCACCTCCCCACTAGCCAGGGCAAAGAGCAGCACTCCTAGGGACCACCAGTCGGCTGCGTGGCTGTAGGGCCCCCCGCTCAGCACCTCTGGAGCTGTGGGGTTGAGCAGATGAGTGCCTGGTGGGGGCTGTGCCCCCCACCACAGCCCCCCACTGCCCCCTTACCCATGTACTGCAGGGTGCCACAGATGGTGTGGGCTCGCTCGCCCCACCGCAGGTGCCGGGAGAGGCCAAAATCTGTGAGCTTGAGGTGTCCTGTGGGATGAGACACTGCATGGGGGCTCCATGGATGGGGTACCCCCTTGGAGAGGACATCCCCACAGATGGGATGGCCCCACACCAGTGCCACCAAACTCTTACCTCTCTCATCCAGGAGGATGTTCTCCATCTGAAACGAGACGGGTACTGGGGTGGCCTCTGCGTGCCAGGGGGTTCAGAGACCCCTCCACACCCCATCCTACGGCCCCCCAGCCCCGCTGCCACCCACCTTCACGTCTCTGTGCACGATGCCAAGGTCATGGAGATACACTGGGGAGAAAATGGAGCCACCAGAGTGGTGTGTCACCTCCCGGCATGGTGCCCACTGCCACCCCCACAACACCCAGCAGGCAGCTGCCCACCCCCAGGGATGGCTGACCCTGCCTGCAGGTCCCTGTTGGTGGGGACACTGGTGGCTGTCCCCAGCACGGCAGGACACTCACCCAGCACCAGCACCAGCTCGGCAGCAAACAGGCGGACGGTGGCCTCGGCGAAGCACCCGGCGGCACGCCACAGTGCGTGAAGGTCTCCGGTGCTGCAGTAGGTGCACACTGCCGGGACGGTCGATGTGCCTTACTGACGGGCTGGCACGAGGGGCCACGCTGGCACGAGGGGCACGGGCACCGGGGTGGCATGGGTACAGGGGGGCAGGTGGGTCACTGGAGCCATGCACCAAGGTGACATGGGCACCAGGGCGATGCATCAAGGTGATGCAAGCACTTGGGCCATAAGGGCAGCGAGGTGGCACAAGAAGCAGGACCACACTCGCATCAAGGTGGCATAAGATATAATATGGGCACCAGAACCACGTACTCAGGTGACATGGGGTGATGTACCACAGTGACACGGGCGCCAGAGCCATGTGGGCACTGGGAACACACAATCACCAAGGTGGCACAGGCACTGTGGCCATACAGGTACCAAAGTGATATGGTCCCCTGGGGTCACACTGGCAACACGCAAGCTACGTGGGGACTGAGGTGGCACGGCCATCAGGGCCACTGGGCCCAGGCAGGCACCAGGGCCTCATTCACCCCGACACCGGTCCCTGCCCCACTGCAGCTCGTCCCCATCCCTGTCCCCTTGTCCCCATGGCGGGAGCCAGCAGCTGAGCGCCTGGATCCCCGCAGGGCAGCGGGCAGCGCGGGGGGAGAGTGCGCGTGTGCGGGGACACGTGTGCGGGCGGCAAGGACACGTGCGCGAGCGAGGCGGGGGGGTTGGGGG